ATTATACGAAAGTATAGTCGTATAATAGCTTATCATTCCTTACAAGTACGTTTCATATGTCTAATATCAACAATAACTTATTTCATTCCGGTAAGAAATGTAAACAAAACAACTTTCATTTATCGAACAACATGACAATACGAAATTACAATATCAATATATATAATATCAAAAAATTACATTATATTCATTACACTTTCTTTGTTAATAACTTTTTAATGAACAACGAGCGACAGTGAAAACTTTTTGAATATTATTCAGGATAGTCAATATATATCTTTGGTAAAATATATCCAAAGATTATTAAAATCAAAGGGTGGTCCGTTATTCTGCATATTTATCAAAAATAATTATAGAAACGTTTACATGCTTAAATGCGGATTACGGGTTAGCAAAAACTTAACGTTTCTACAACAAATTATATGACATTCAATTTTATATAAATAATATTCATATTCACATTGTATTTTAATTTATATATAATAATGGTGTATGTAGTACAATTTATTCTAACAGTTTTATATACTTAAAGAGTCGGTGAAGAAAATAATTTTTCTAGAATTTTCTCTTAAATATTAACATTATTATAATATATTAATTTTTTTGAATACATTAATTTAATATATCAATAAATCCAGTTGGATCTGAAATTGATATAGTTACCTTAAATTATGCAATGTGAAGTCACCATGCCTACCTTTAATACAAGCAACGGTATCTATCCAAAACAGAGGACTGCGTAAGCGATTTTAACTCTCTTTTTGCTCGCATCAAACTTTTTAATTGAGGGAAGCCAGACAGAACGCGGGGCAGAGGGACGTAAAATGGAATTAGAGATCGGTATATCGCTGTCTCCGAGTTTGTGGGGAACGGCGCTGTATGATCGACAATAAATATGGTTCATAATCCAGGAATGGCTACGTCAAGATACAGAGAGTTTCGTAGCGCCCCGTCGTGCGACGCGTGTCATACGTAAGGTCGTCGTAACGACTTTCCCGACTTTACGACTCCGAATTAGGATTAGACTCGGTTGTATCGCATGCCGCACTATCTGCTGCGCATGAAGCGGATCGTTTAATTTATTCCGGGCATGAATTGGCGAAGCCATCTCCGAGAGCAGAGTGTCTCGCTGGGATATTTGAGTTTATCGAGTCACTGAGAGAGAAAGAGTGAGAAAACGAGAGAGGAAAGGAGGGGGAGAGAAGGAGAGAGAGTTTGTTTCGCATAATTGAATCTTCCATCCTATATTTTTCGTTGTCGTGAAAATAAATTTCAGCGCGATTTACGATTGTTACGATAACGTACGCATCACATCGTCCAAATTATTGTGTCGATAATTTCTATATCTATAGGGCGTAAGAAGGTTCTACATTAAATTTACGTGATCAATTCTTTCTTAAAAACACTTTAATGAAGAAAAAAAAAAAAAAAAATGAAAAACGATAATTGAAATCTTTTCTCAAAGATATCTTCTTAGAATTAACTAATTACTGATGATATCATATAATTTTTATGTTAAATTTTTCATTCATTATTTATTTTTCATTTTCATGGTTCTATTTATATGTAATAAAAGTCGGAATCCTCTAATTTTTATCTCAGATAATCTCTTCGTCAATTCCCCTTGATACCGAAACAACTACTATTTTTCTCGTTTCGATCTCCAGTGTTTATGGATGTAAGAACGTTTCGTGTTTTTGGAACGTTCTGTATAAGATACAAGAAACAGCGACGTTCTTTCGCAATACTCGTTCGTGAGTCTGCCAGGCGTAGGATAGCGCCAATCGAAAAGTCATTACAACTTTTTGCCGACTCAATCAAGAAGTTAATGTCCTTTAACCTTGCGTCGTTTCCCGTAGGATTTTCCTTTGCCGAGATCCGGAGAATCGCGTAAGAAACCGACGGGTCTCACATGCCCGGTAAAATAGATCACCGGCGTATGATTGATCGCCTATTGGCTCCATGGGATAGAGAATGCTTTTTGTCCAATGCACACACTTGTATCGGAAGTTATTCTTCCTATGGGTACGATGCCTTCCGTCCTGCCTTGAATCGAGGTTTTCTCGTGGAATTACGATTAAATAATAACGATAATTATACATTATACATTAAATTTGTTAAAAAATATACAGAGTGTCCGACGCAAAGTGTTCCATACTTTGTGTGCATGTACATTAGATTAAATTGAACCCAAAATCTCTCAACTATTTTGCAAAAAAACACAGAACTTTGAGTTATTAATTAAAGAGAATTACGCGAAGAATCACGCGCAAGATAGCAGATGAACTGTGATAACAGCGACGCAATCGTGTGCTTATAGATTAGGTAAAAAAACAGAATAAAAAGGTTATATATATTTTTTGCAAATAACTACGTAGATTTTTATTTATCAATTAAAAGAGGTCGGCAGATGTATATGTGATAGTTTACAGTTGTGTGCGATAATACATCAATCTTTTTTAATTAATAATTAAAAATCTAAATGGTTATTTGCAAAACAGTGAAGAACTTTCCTCAACTTGACTTAATCTAAAAAACACAGACGTTGCTATCATAACTTATTTACCGTATCGTGCGATCACATTTCCAATCTTTTTTAATTAATAACTCAAAATTTTCCGTAGTCGTTTGCAAAATGGTAGAAAAACTTTATATTCAGTTTGACCTAATCTATATATATCCCGAGCAAAAATGTATCTAGTAGAGCAGATTTCAAGACTAATAGCTAGATAGTAACGACTAGATAAGTTTTCTAGCCAGTCACTAGCTCGTGACTGGCTAAACATTCCTATTCTCAGTCTTTTGAATGTCAGGACTATCTAGTAACTATACCAATTACATAGATAATGGCTAGATGAAAAAGATTACACAGTAACGAGATAGAAAATCATCGATAAATCCTAAATAGAAATTGGATATCAGAACTATCTAGTACTTATACCAATTATAGTCACATGTTATTTTTTTGTATCTAGCTACTATATAATTTTTCTGGTACAGCCACTAGGAGAAGTGAACGTTACATTACTAGCTAGTAGCGATGTAAGACCCAACTTTTCTGTGTCATCACTAGACAATCACTAGATTCAATTTTTGCTCGGGTATATGAGGTATAGGATATTTTGTGTCAGGTATTCCGTATAAAAATAATATGTTAAGAAGGCAGTTATAAATAAATTAAAAATAAAATTTTTTACAGAATTTCAGGAAAATTTCGTGAAACGTAATTTGTGAAGATGAGTTATCTATTATGACATATGGAAAATAACTAGTAAAATTGGAAACAAAAATAAATAAAACCAAAACGGACAGTAAAAAAATAAGAACATAAAAAAATACACATAACGCAACAATTCTTATAATAATCTTTAAGCGCTTTATTATTCGTACGCACAGACGCATTTCCACTAAAGCCATATGTCACTTGGAGAGATTACGATATTTATCGAAATAACGAGAAGTGGGTAAGACACGTCAGAAAGATAATCCGTAGAACGATAGTACCGCGCGGACATCGTCAGTACCTTCTGCCCAATACAGTTGATTTAACGAACTTTGTCTTTCTTCGGTAACGAGTTATATGCGTAACGTGACTTTAATAACGTAACATTAAAGAAATATGAGATTTATTAAGTGATATGGAATGGAGTAAAAATCGAAGTTAGTCGTTAGTCGAGAGCTCTTTGCAGTCAGTTTATTCGTCAATTTATCAGTTTATTGAATATTCTTTTGAAAATGTTAGAATTTACAAATAATGTACAGACTTACGCATTCCTTTAATCAATTCATATATCAGCAAATATATTTTCATTCTTCAGCAAATGTAGTTTCTACTTTCTCTTAAAGCGATTTCCGTGACATTTATACCATATTTTTATATTTTGGTCACTCATATCAATTGACACGTCTTCGTATTCCGCGTCTGTATTTCGAAAGCAAGCTCGTCATACCTTCATCAGCAGACCTGGGTTGTCTGTCGAACGTCCAATATAGTTGTGGGTCGACCATAAAAAAGGAATGTAGCCCGGAGCGCGGGCGTTAAAAATATTCAAGATCGTTTGTCAGGCTGAATTACAGCCCCCGGTCGTATCCACCCCTTCGCCGCCACCTTCGCCCGTTCGCCACTCCGACGGAGCGAGATTCTGCGGAATGCGTTGCGCAACGCAGAGAGGGTAAGACGTGTGGACGGGTAAAGGGGTGGCAAAGGCAAAAGACTACGACAGCGACGGCGACGACGATGCGGAGAAGTACGACGACAACGACGACGACGACGACGATGACGACGACGACGACGACGACGACGACGACGACG